GACAAGGAAGGCAGAGAAAATACATCTTGGGGAATATAAACTATCCAGAATACTTACTACATAAGCTTAAGCAAGTGACTTTACCTTTCTGGCTTCAGTTATCCTATTGAAGGCACAATGTGTTTTGAAACTATTTTGAGGTAACACATGCAAATGAAAATGCAAAAATGGTTCATTAGTATTCTCTCAGTTGAATATTCTACATCATAAAATACTTCATTCCTTTGATAGTCATTCCTCAATCTGAAGATGTGACAGACAGTCATTCTAGCTTTATTGCTGACCTTCGAAGGGTATTCTGGGACAAAAGAGACTGGATATAAATCCTTATAAATATGATATGAATAGAAAAAACAAAAAGTACTTTTATTTCTGAACTTTTATTCTGAAAAAGTAAGGAATACCATGAAATGAAAATAAAGGCCTTTACTCAATAAAGTTCATGTTCCTCCCTCACCTATGATTCCTGAAAACAAACTGAAATGAGTGCTATTTCCATGAGACATAGAAGTCCTTTACCCTACTTTCTCTAGGAGTCTGCCCAGAATCCAGGGCTTAACATTTGTTCTTCCTTGTTATCCCAAAGTCTACAGACATCTAGATGGATTAAACTAGTCCTGGATTTATCTTTACTGGGCTAGAGTCATCTAGGATTCTTGTAATGGGTTAGGCATTTCCAGAAAATCAACGCATTTAAAAGGAAATTTCTAAATCTGGACCTATTCAATTAAACACAACTCCGTAAGTGAAAGCTGTGATGTCACACAACTAGAAATAGCTTTGACATTTACAATTACAAGTCTCTCTTTCTTTTTTGCAGATATTGCCATTATTTTCAGAGCTAACAGGGGCTTGGAAAATCACTTAGTTGAATTTGCCCATTTTTCAGATGGAGAAACCTGGTACACAAAAATAATATAGAATGAGGACTCACCATGATCCCCAGATTCTTAATCCAGTGCCCTCTTACTGCAACACATATCCTCTAAACATTAAAGCTCTTTAATAATGCAAAACTTTCTGAGTTTAGATTTTTTTATAGTGAGTACTATTGAATATTCACTTTTTAAGTGATCCCAGCAGTTAACTGATTTGTGAAAGAAAGAAATTTTAAAACAGGCATGCAATTCTGTAAATGCCCCATAACTTCATAAATGGGAGGAAGAACATTTTTTCTTGTTTGAGAGAAAGTGATCTACCTTGGGTCTTGATCTTCTCATTTTCTTAATGCTATGTAGATATTGAATCACTTTTAAATGGCTATAATCATTGTAACACCTTTCTTTCTCTAAAAATATTAGTTGTCCTTTGTCTACCAATTTCAATAGCTTTGAAACACTGCTGTCTGCTCTGGGTTTCAGAGATGACTTCTAGCTACAAAAGTAACACAGAGCCAGCCAGCACCCTATTTGACTTACACATCCAAATGACTCCAGATCTGAGCAACTGGAGAGTTGAGCATTTTCAGAATGTGCATATTAGCTCTGTGGTATAATGACTGATGTCAGCCCCAACTTTGCCAAACATCTCTCATCACTATTAGTTATATCCCATTCCAAACTATTGGGCTTGCTCTCTGTTTCTGGAGCTCAACCTCTTCTACATATTTGCTGTATGGATTCAACAATATGAGAATCATTTTTCTTTCCTTAAAGTGCCACTGCTGCAATGGATAAAAATAACTTGTTACTGTTGTCACTGCCTTTTGAGGGGAGGAGGTAGAAGAGATATGAGAAATTGTATTAATTAGTTTGTATATGTTTAACCCTCTATTTTTATCCAAAACTGTTTGATTCTCCTGGCCTGAGTCTCTTAGATTCTTGGGAATCAAAAATTTCTGGGACTTATTTTTTTAGAGAAAACTAAGAAGCAATTGTCTACCTCCATGCTTAGCCTATCGCTTTTAATTTGCTTTAGGTTTGAACTCTAAAATCCACTACCAGCCACAGGGTTTCCTGAGTATTGTTTATTGAAGAAAAAAAATAGGTACTATGCTGGACAAAATAAACCATGTCATGCCTTATGTAAGATCTTAGAGCAGTTAAGGGAATGCAAGACAGCCAGACGAGTAAACACACTTTTAACAGTAAGGTAACATAGATCAGGCAAAAAAGTTATTCTAAGGCATAGCATCAAGAAAGAAAGAATACTGAAACATTTATTTAATGTTTTCCTTATGTTCCCTCTGAAGAGTGCTTACTCTTTGACAAGTTATTCCTGCCCATTGCATCTAGCACTTCTTTTCTGGGATGGCTCAAGAACTGGAGCTTCTCTCTGGGTTTGTTTATTTATTTGCACTGCCATTCCTGTTCTCATCCAAGCTAACATATGTCTGCACAACACACAGTGAGAAGCGGCTTCATGGTTTTTTCCCTGAAGTTTTTCACTAAATTGCATTTTTACATCCCTTTTGCAATCTCATCCCTTCCGGCTCAAGTATCCAGGATTAGAAAGACTGTCTCTGGAGTCTTTTTCAAAGGGAGCCTCCCATAGCCTTTAAATCCCCCACATTTTATGGTGCAGATATTCAAGATCTGAGGTATTAAGCAAGAAGGAAAGCAAAGCTGATGGGGACAGGCACAGAAAAATAGAGTGGCTTCTTTTCTAGATAATCATTATTGGGATTGTCTGGTTATCTGTAACTTTTCTGGTTCAAAGTGATAAACTCAGTCATTTACAACTAGACATTATGCAATGGATGGGGATGGCTATGTGCATGTGTTCATGCTCACTGTGCATTCACAGGCTGTCCAGAAGACAGTCCCATCACAGAAAGTGGAAGTTTTTCAAAACAAGGCAAAAATCATACCAATAGGGTTACTGCCCTCATAATACCAACCCTAAAGAAAATTATACCTACTTTTAGAATTCCAATACAAGTCTGCAAAAGAATAAATGACATTCAAGTAAGGAATTAGCATCAAAAGGCCAGTCTAAGCTTCTAATTTTCATAACCTTAAAAAGAATGAATTATTTCCAGTTCCCTTCCATTTGCATCCAGGCCATTACCCTCCTCAATCTTCCTTTTGGGGTATTTAACAAATAACCACTAAAGCATTCCAGAGGCATAGAAAAACCCGGGAGCATTGCAAGTTTGCAAAATGGGACAGATATGGCTAATAACCTTTGTTTCTCCTCTGAAAATTGAAAGCAATCTTGCAAGTCTTGTTTGTTTTCCAGGAAGATTTGGGCGATTTTCAAAACCTAAATTATTCGAGCATAAGAATCTGTAAGGTATCTATGAATCTAGTGGATTTTTTTTTTTCCAGAGTGGCCTCCCAGAAGTTTGGTCCCCTCTAAAGCTGCAGCGCTAAAGACTGCAGTCCTTCAGGTATTCTATTACATATATATAGATCAGTTTTATATTAAAAAAACGCTTTGGGGGGTTGCGATCTTCAACTAAATACTTCTTCAGTAACTACTGAAAGCTCCTGGGCTTATGCTACTGGAGAAAAGAGATGGGAAGCTCAACGTTGACTAACAGCTAGGGTTCACACCGCCTAGAAGCGCCAGCTCTTGGTTCTCCCACCTTTCTGGGGGCCAGGCAACCTCGTTCTTTCCTGCCAGGAGCCCCCACTTGTGCTCCAATAGAAAGTCATGGAACTTCTCCTTCTCCCCTAAGACAGGGGAAATCTTTCCATATATTATTCCCAGTAACCCAGTTGAGAAACCGAAATGCCAACAGATCTCACAGAACCTTGGGAGACAGAGGAAGGGAGGGAGAGAGGGAGAGGGAGCAAGACCCAGCGCGCGCCAGAGTCTAACGAAGGCGAGCTGACTACTGAGGGAATTGCCTGAGGGGAGGAGGAATCTTCCAGAGCCACAGTAAAGGGTCGGTTTGGAAGAAAGCCGCAGCACAATAGCATTCCCAAACGGACGGTCCTGAGCGCTTACACCTCTGGGTTCTCCCCCTTCCGAGCAGGTAAACCACAGCCAAGCAGACCCGCAGAGCCCTTTGAGTTCCCTCCGGATCACTCGACAGACGTCCAACCGCAGCTACTTTTATTGAAAGAAAGGAAGGAAGGAAAGCAACTGAGGAGGAGAGGCTAAGGAGAACTGGGAAGGAGTCCGCAGCCAGAAACCCTCCAGCTATCTACCAAAGGGGCGAGGGGCGGGCCTCCAGGAAGCAGTCGAGGGTGAGGTGGGGGTTCCGTGGCGCTGGGGAGAATGGCCACCGAGAGCAGGGTTAGCCCAGCCTGAGACCCCGAGACCTTCTGGACTGGGGAGGTGGGGGTGGGGGACTCCCGCCCGCTGGACCCTCGGCACCAATACCCCCAGTGCCAGGGCGCCCACCTCTGGAGCTGCCTTTCTGAAGGACTCCTGTCCGCAAGCAGGGCCTCCCCCAAGTCCCTCCCCTATCCCATCCAGCCCGGGTTCTCCAGCCGTCTTTGCAGTGTCCAGAGATGCTCCTCCGCAGACCCAGGACCCCTTAGGCGCCTCTTCCCTTCCCTCTGCCAAATCGCAACGCCTGTACTTTTCCAGCTCCCTCTTTCCCTCTTGAAATTGAAAGTTATTGAGGTCGCTCAGGGTTGTTGCTCC